CTGCAGGCGCCGCGTCCAGGGGGGGAGAAGGGGGTGCGGCGAGGCGGGCGGCGGGCGGCCCCTGCGCGTCGTCGTGCGCAACGCGGAGGGAGAGGTTCGAGGTTCGAAGCTCGAGGTTATCCGTGGCTTTCCCGCCTCGGCATGCTCTCCGGCGGCGGCGCCTCGCCGAGAGCTTCCCCGGGGTGCGCAGATCGCGTCCCGGACGGCCGCCGGAGGCCCGAACTATGGCCGGAAAACCGCCAGGGGGCCGGCTCGGGGGGAGAAGAGGTGGAGGGGGAGGGGGAGGGGGAGGGGGAGGAGGAGGAGGAGGAGGAGGAGGAGGAGGAGGAGGAGGAGGAGGAGGAGGAGGAGGAGGAGGAGGAGGAGGAGGAGCAAAAGCAAGAGCAAGTTAGTTCACGAAGTGAAAAGGGAAAACCGCCTTACACCAGGGAGGGGGACTTCCCAGCGGGCCCCTGTCGGGCCTCCCTCTCGGCTTTGCTGAGGGCCCTGGGAGGTAGCCCTGAACGAATACGCCTTAAATATTCAGCTCCCGTTGGTGTGGCTTTCAAATCGCAATTCTTGTGCAAATTGGAAGTTCGCTTGCTAGCGTGACTACCGCACGTACCACAGAACCAGAGGCCGAACTTGGTGCACAGTATCATGCTATGGCTCTCATGGACCCAGCCACCCCCTATGTGAACATTATTGGCCCCGAAGGAAAAGAACGAACCGTTCAGATTCTCAGGGACAAAACAGGAGCTGGCCTTCCAGAGGCTGGCGGTATCTAGCGTGGCGCTTCCAAAGCACCTGGAACAACGACGGCCACACTCCTCCAGGACGTGGGAGGTAGAAAAGTTTAAAGCGACAGAAGGAGCAGGAGGAGCAGCGGGCGGGAGGGAGAAACGCTTGCCTCTGGCCTCACCTTGCTCACCTTGCGTGCCATCTCCAGCACGCACACTCTCGAAAGCTGCTCGTAGAAGTCGATGCCGAATCAGAAATACATCACATTCCAGCAATGGCAATCTCGATCTCACCGATGGGTCCAGACGCACCTCCAAGGCGGCTGGCCGAACCAACTCATCCACAGCTGCATTGCCCAATATTTTCCATGCATCCAAGGGGTCATGGACCAGCGCGCTTGCCTCTTGATGAGAGTGAACAAAAGTAACTGTGATATCTTCGTACCGGAGATCAGCCATGATGCGATCAATCTCTGCCCATATGTCTGCATCGACACCCGTGGGGCGCAGAAACACACGATTGATCCATCACCTGTACACGTTCTCGTTGTCCGTCACATAGTGTGTAACTCCATTACAGCAGTACAGACACAACCAAAGAGCCTTGACTCCTCCGCGTGCGACAGTCTGCCTGGGTCCAGCCAGACCACAAGAGATCGCACAGTCGAGCGTCATGTTCGTGAAGTCGCTGATCGTAACCACACCAAGCGCCACGCGTCGCATGCGAGGGTCTCTCGTGTCGGGACCCCCGCTGGCGTCGCCGATCATCAAAGTGGGACGGTCATACGTCCCCTTCGGAAAGCAGCGCCGCGAAAACCCATCATTCAAACCATCCCAACACCAGTTGTGAACATACTGAGGTGCAGGGGTGGCTGTCCATTCGGCTGGCAGCAGCCCTCGATGCCAGTAGCATGGATGCGCCCCCCCTTGACTGCAGGCCTGAGGCACCAACCGGTCGCTGCGTTCGAAGGCCACACACCCAGTATTGCATCGGCATGTCCAGTATCGATGTAATGATGTCTCGCTGTCCTCACCACAGCGATCACACTTGACATCAATGGGGCGATTGCCGTTGGACAGCACAGCCTGCTTCCGCGCCTTAGGCAAGGCGGCCCCTGTGGCGACTGAAACAAGCAAAGCTGCCAGGCGCCGCCCAATGTGAGGAATATTCTGGAATTGCCGAAGCAAGCGCCGATAGGAATAGCTGTCGGTACCATGTTCCAATCCTTCTCCGTCGTAATGCCGCGCGGCCTTCGCCCATATGGGCGCCGTGGCTGCGCTCCTGACCTCACCAAAGAACTCGTGAAAACTCGCATCATCGATCGCGTCAATGCCCATAAAATTCTCATCAGGAAAAGCCCAAGAGGTCGCACCTGGAGGAGACCACAGCGTCGGTGATTGTGGAACCCATCCGATATCCAGCAGGTGAAATATCACCGCTGACATGGGGCCCCTGATATGCCTGGACCTCTGGGCGTGGGGCAAGGCCTCCAACTTCTGGCGAACCGTATCCCACGCCCGAATAATACCCGGACGAGCCTCTGGATGTTGACGCCAATTGGAGCGCCACTGCCGAAACGTGCCCGTGATGAAACGCTGCGCAGGGCCAAGAGAGTTGGCCTCCAACTCGAGCAACGTCGTGAGGCAGCGACCTCGGACTCGAGCACCGCAGGCAGCCCCGAGACGTCGACGATATCGAACCAACTCCTGGCCCACCACACCGTAGACCTCGTAGCCGTAAGATCCTGCAGCTTGAGCCCCCTGTCTTTCCAGCCGTGAAGTGATCTTAGTCCTCCTAAGAGTCCTGACGTACTTGACCACCTTACGGTGCCTGACGAGGTGCTTGGCGCTGCGCTTGACCCGCTGCCCCCGAGCGTGACGAACCCCAGCCCCAAGGTCGACTCCGAGGTAACTGGTATGCTTCGCCGCCGTCATCGTGACTCCTCTCAGCTTGAGTGCCCTGACGATCTCCTTGGCCAAACCAGGCTTCGTGCGCGTGACAACTGACTTGGACGCAACACTGAGGCCCTGCACCTTGAGCAAACGAACTGTGATCACAAGGCAATCAATCATGTCACGCTTGACCTGCGCCGCCGACCCCTTGGTGGCCTGCGACAAGTCGTCGATCCAGAGTCGATGGCTACACCGCACATTCGAAGTACAAATCCGATCCATGATAAAAATACGTCATCGCACGCGCGAAGCGTGTCCCAGACCGTAAACCTTGTATGATACTGCATGTTGGCTCAAAAGCCCTCGAACATGCTCCAATCTGCTGCAAGGAGCGTGGATGCGAACATTGTAATAGTTCCAAATACAGAAGCGTGGGTGGAAACCCGAGCCGCAGCGCGGCTCGGGCAAGCTTGAGCCATATCATGTTATCGTAGTACCCGCCGGTATCTGTAAGAGCGCGTGGTTCCCAAGACTCCCGCAACTTCTTCGTCGAGGACCCGACGAAACGCCTAACCCAACGACGAATTACCGATAACAGCTGCATCCCAGTGAGCCTCCGTGGACCTCGACCAAGACTTCACCCAAGGTTCTCGCGACATACCCCATACTCTGGATAAAACCGTCACGAGGCCTATCACGCGGTCCCCATTCAACTTTTGTGGGAGGAGGCGGCCGAGAACGAGCATGGTCTGCACGGGCCAGACCAACAGATACTCAATCGCGGCGAACAGCGCGCATAACTCGGCCACCCCAGCGTCGGGCAGCCTTTCGATATCACATGGCGCGAGACGGTCCACCCCCATCCCCGCACGAGGCTTCATAGATCTCAGGGCCCGCCTAACATCCTCCACACATAACTCAGGAAGAGGATCAGGATCATCTCTGACAGCCTGCCGAACAATCTCGAGAACATTCCCAAGCGTCTCGTCGGGGTCGGAAATGGGCGGAGCCCTCTTGCGATGCCACTTGTCTGACTTGAAATCAACTATATCCTTTGGATGGTAAAGAATGACCAATCCATCGCAAATTACCAAACTAGGCACTGAATCTTGCCTCATGGCCCTGCGTAGCGCGCCCAAGAGGATCCCTCAACGGCCCAGTCCTGGAACTCTCGAAGCGACTGGTGCAGGGCTTTACGTTGACTAGATCTGGCGACCTTATCCGAAAACTGAACGAAAGTGTCGAGCTGGACTATCGAGCAGCTTCCAATGGACGATAAGAAAGCGAGCCATTCAGACCAGGGGGGAACCAGGCAGTTCGATCCTGACACGTGAACCTGACCGGGCCTGTCTTCAACGAGGCGTCGGCATTCTCTTCCCAATCTCTGCTACTGCACAAGTCCGTTGCCTCGAGCACGATGCTTGTGCAGTGACGTGAGAAGCGAGTGGGCCCTTGCCCACCAGCTAGCAACCTGATCGCGCAGTGGTACTGCTCAGTGCTGCTCCGAGACTCTGACCTCCTGCACAGTGAAGACTGGAGCTAGGGCACGCTGGGGCCCTCGAGAGGCTTCCGCAGAAACGCGGTGAGCACAAATAGTATCCTCCACAGTAGACGCCCAAGAAGCGCACATCCCACTGACCAGTAACGCTCGTTCAGGGTCGACTTTGAAAGCTCTGGAGTCCCTGATGTAGGCAGGAAGAGGTCGGGAGGGAGAGAGGGAAAAACCTACAGCTCGTCTCTGCCTATCCCAAAGATCTGGGGGAATCATCTGACTAACGCTAGGGCGCCCTCGGGGCTTGGGGGGCTGGGTCGACGCCTCATGAGGACCAGTGCCGCTGCCGCGCTGAGCAGAGGTGCCACCAGAGCGACCCTCGTCAGTGGGCCCGCCAAGAGCTTCGCCAGCCATCCGCAAAGGCCCGCAAGCAGCGCCAGGGCCACCGCCTTCCCCCGAGGGGGGGGGGGGAAGGGGGGGGAGGGGGGGGGGGGGGGGGGGGGCAAACAGCGCTGACCCCAAAAGACAAAACAAACTGCTGCAATTAGAATTAGCAACATCGCTGAGAAGGGAGGCCTCTTGCCCCTCGCCCCCCTTCCACGCAAAAATTCAACTGGTCTGCCCCGGGGCCCTCCTCGGAACAGACAGACAGAACAGCGCGAAACCTGTCGGCGGAAACTTGCAGCGCAGGCTGGGGCTCAGGGCGCTCAGGGAGGTGCTCCTCGGGCTCCTGCTGGGCCCCCTTGTTTTTCTGAGGGTCGATGGCCTCCAGGGCATCCCCGTAGAGCCTCGCGTACACCTCGTTCCGCTTGGTCGCGCTCTCCCGGGCAGCAATCAGCCGAACACAGCGTGCTCGACTGGACTTGGACTCTGGAGTCGGCCCCTTCCCAGGTCGC